CAAGACCACGGCCATACAGCCCGAAAAATCCGCAACAACTAATGAACTCCGGCTGTGAAAGCCTTCGACAACATATTAGGAAGAACTTCCTGACAGAGTGGTTCCTCAGTGGAATAGGCTTTCTTGAGAGGTGGTGGGCTCTCCTTCTTTGGAATTTTTCAGAGGCTAGATGGCCATCTGACAGCAATGCTGATTCTGTGAACTTATGGAGATCATGAGAGGGAGGGCAGAAAGGACTGCATCAGTGCTTAGTTCTTGTGATCCTTTCTTACATGCCCAGGGAAATGCTGATGGCCACTTTGAGGTCAGGAAGTAATTTTTCTCCAGGTGTGTTTGGCTGGAGATCCTGGAGGGGTTTTTTTCATCTTCTGGGCGTGGAACAGTAGTCTCTGGGGGTGTGGAGAGGGAGGTATTTGTGAATTTTCTGACTGTCCAGGGGGTTGGACTAGATGACCCTGGAGGTCCCTTCCAGCTCTATGATTCTATGAAATGGGGAATTTTCTGGCTCACCCTTTGCACTGAGCCTCTATGACTTTTCTGGATTTTCCCCAAGTCTATGATAATTTATAAATATTGGGCAGCCACAAAGGTACACAGTATTCTAAATGCATATATAAACTTTATGATACTGGTTGTTTGAATTCATTATTCCTCAACACTGAACTTGACTTTTTATGTTGTAGCATACTACAATACAATTTGATTTTATTATTTTATTAACTTTTTTTTAAGCTCACCCTTCTTCCAAGGAGTTCATGTTAGCATACATGGCTCTCCTCTACTTTGTTTTATCATTAATAATTGAGTATCTACATTCTAAAAGCCAGTCACTTCTCAATCCGATCAATGTTTACTTGATAGAAAGGGCACTGTACTCAGGAATATAAAACTGATTTATTAAAAGTAATTGCATACCACTAAAACACATTTTAAAATGTAAAACATCTATTAAAACAATGTTTCACAGTTATTAAGACTTGACAAAGTTATTGGAAGTAATGAAGTACATATCTATAATTTTACACATATATAGGTAAAATTGTAAAGGGCAACTTTCATCACAGTGTGCTTGTCTCTGCCCCGTCCCCAGTCTATATTGCCACAAATTTTGCAACTTGCTAATCATCTTCAACACCATTATATTAGAAATGTACAGGAAATAGATTCACATAAAGCAAAACTCCATTTTCCAGGTTCGAGGATAAGGCAGGAATTCTGTAGTATTTAATATGAAAACTCTTCCTTCTCAGGTCTATATTTTTAATGCCCTGAATATTTTCTATTGTTTTACTTTTGTCTCAGATCATTAAAAGCCTTTGTGCATCACTAAATTAAGCAGGACTTTCTCCTGTATAAGTATGCATATGTCAGGGGAACAGAAAACGCTGTCAGCATAACAAATCTTGGAGGACATTTGCAGGTAGCAAAATGGTAAAACTTTGCTCTACACTGCCTTGATCCCACAGATAGCTTATTTATTTGTGTCATTTATAGTCTGCCTTTCTCACTTAGACTCAAAGCAGTGAGTCAATACAATCGACACATTGGACCTTCAAATGCAATAGGATTAGGGTTGTAGAACCAACCAGAAATCTAAAAACAGAACTGGCGCAAAGCATATGTATTAACATAACATATTAAATGATGCAAAATTCCATAGTAGATTCTAGTTTCAACAAGCTATACACAGTAGTGTAAATCATAGTCCCTAATGATTCTTCTTGTACATTAGAACCAACCAGAAATCTAAAAACAGAACTGGCGCAAAGCATATGTATTAACATAACATATTAAATGATGCAAAATTCCATAGTAGATTCTAGTTTCAACAAGCTAAACACAGTAGTGTAAACCATAGTCCCTAATGATTCTTCTTGTACATATAGGTTAACAGGGTCCCTTGCAGGCTAATATTGAGCAACGCAAAGAAAACAATCCTATTACACAAGATGTGACAAAATAGCAGTTGTTAAAAGGAAGGAAGAGTGGGATTGTTTTTATATTTTGAATACATTTGTTCTACCTGGTCAGCCAATGTGTTAAAATGACTGCAGCACATAGTTTAAAATGTTCTCTCCCTGGACCTGGAACAGTCTTCTGTTCCTACAACTATGTAACAGCATTTTAAGAGTCCAGTGGCACCTTTAAGACCAACAAAGGTTTATTAAAGGTATGAACTTTCTGTGCATGCACACTTTTTAAAATATTTGATTGTATTTGAAAAAGTCTGCATGCCCACAAAAGCTCATACCCTGAATAAACCTTTGTTGGTCTTAAAGGTGCCACTGGACTCTAAATTTGCTCTACTGCTTCAGACCAACATGGCTGACCACCTGGAACTAACATTTTAGGAGTGTGAGATGTACAAATTACACCAATAGGCCACAACAAATGCCCAAGTTTAACCTGAACAGCTGTATATGCATATAACTTGGAACCTGATCCTATCTGTGGCGAAATATGAGGCAGAAATGTGCTTTGTTATGCCAGAGCTACATATTGTTATCACTATATTGCATAGGATACAGAACTTCAGAATCACACCCATATAAGAAACGAAGATGGTGCCCTCTTATCATAGCTGTTCAGTTGCTGTATTCAGGACTGCACAAAGGTATGCAAGCCAAATTGTGTGTATTGGTGTTTAATTTCAGAACTGTTTGCAACTAGGTTTCTTCTTCCCCTAGTGACTCATGTAGCCTGATCACGGATCCTCATGAATTCATATGATTTTTACATTGAAACAAAATAAAACCACCATAATACTGTAGACAATGTGTTAGTCTATAGGGGGCACCACAAAAATCACGCATCCACAGATTCGTGGCACCACAACAGCGCAAAAACATGATTCCAAAGCACGGATCCTCATGAATTCATATGATTGTTACGGTATGATGGTGGTTTTATTTCCTTTCAATGTAAAAATCATATGACTTTTACCCAGACCCTTGGAAAAGCAAAATTAGGTATCTATTACCCGCTTTTTTTGTAAATCCCGCTTTCAGCAGCAGGGAATTCTCTCCTCCTAACTTTCTCACAACGTTCCCCTAACGAAACAGCCTTCCGCCTAGGAACACGGAAAGGTACTCTTCCTTCTGGAACTGCGTGGCACGCGGTTATTCGCTCGCGATTTCGCCCCTCTGGTCTCCTCCGCCCAAGAGTTGTACTCTTCTACGTCGTTGCCCAGACAACAGTAGAGGAACCAACCGAGCCAGCACTCCATCCGGGTTACCAGGAAAGCCGGTCAAAGATCACCGCCCACTTCTTACTTGCCGCTGGTACCATGGGTGTACACGCATTTGTTTACATTTATTTACGCTGACCTCGAGCGATGTTTGTGCTAACTGGCGCGGCGGCTGCTACATCCGGGTGCTTTAACTTATTGCTTCCGGTTCGCGAAGAGCCCGAGCGGCCGGATTCTGGTTCCGGTGCGGCTCGTTCCCGCGACTCTTGTTGAGGGTGAGAGAGGGTTATTGCTCTCCGTTCTTTGGCTCAGCTGATGCTTGGCGGAGCGGAGCGGAGCGCTGCGTGCTGGCTTGTCTGTGGGAGCTGCCTGGGCTGCAGCTGCTGGTACTGTTATCCTTGCAGAGTGGGGTGCTTCTCCTTGTCCCAGTTCACGTGAGGTCGGTCAGAGCAAAAAGGGCTAAGCCTTGAAGCAAGGAGTGCTCCAATGAGCCTGCCCCTCATAGGCCCGCTGGCAGAGTTGTTAGGGCTAGACTCTGAGAGACCTTTACCTTCGAAGCTGTATTTCTATACAGATTGATTGGGGAGTTTCTTGAATTCATTGGGATTACTTTGGTGTAAAGATGCATAGGATTGGGTTGTAAATGTTTATATGGCAATCTTCTAGGCAGGGTTTAAAAAGAAAACTGACGGGTTATGGAGTTTATGAGGGTGAGTGGTATAGAAAGTAAAATCCTAGTAGGTGTGGCTGTCTACACCTCTGCTGCACGAAGTGAAAAGTACACCTGGTAGAGGTCTGCTCCCTGTGTAATTCTTCCAAGGTAAAGATAACTTCTCAGGACTGTTAAAATTCATAGTCTTGAGTTTGAAAGCAAAGATTTTCTGAAATAAAAGGCAACTTCTTAACACTAGAATTTCAGCATTGCTCTTATGCTGTAGAATATAATGGTGATGGTTATTTCAAAACACTCCACTCCAATCAAATGTGCTGTTAGGTTGGAGATTTAGTGCACCCCATCTGGAAATGAATGGTCCTGGTATCTTAAGTGGTAGTTGTGTATCAAGATGAAAGTCTCTTGTACTCTAACACCCAACTGGAAGTGCATGAATAGCAGAAAGCAAAAAGTTCTTGGATGCTTTTCAACTGGACTAAGCATGTAGTGATCCTGAACAGACACTTTTAGCCAAAGGATCAGGGACCAATGTTCTCTGAAGGACTTCACTAAACTTCCCCTGAGGAGTGATCATTGCCAATAAATTTGTAAGGTCCAGCATCGAGGTTGTAAATGGTTGGTTACTTCTGATATAATTTGTGTTGGCAGAAGAAGTATATGATTCTTTGTTGTTAAAAGCTTGTGTTCTTATTGTGCGGTCTGACATTAATTAAGCTAGCTGCTGCGAGGCTTGCTGTGACCATCTCATGATGCTGTTAGTTTAGCTGGGCAGTCCTGTCCAGGTACTATAACTGGTCTGCACTAAACTGAGGAAGCATTAGATTGTAACTTGGTGATTGTAACTACTAGACACCAATGGAAGGGAAATTTCTGACAATTTCTCTTCCCCCCCTTTCTTTAAATGAGTCTCTGAAGCATTTTTCAGATTTGTATAGTTTCTCACAGACTATTGAGATCTTTAGTATATAGTATTCAGGCTGCTTTTCCAGCAAACTGAATTGTTAGAGTTCTGAAATTGTCACTTTCTGTTTCTTCACAGGTTTATTTTGAGCATATGTTACAAAGATGGCTGTCTCTCTTATTATAAAATGGGGTGGGCAAGAATTCTTGATAACTACCTTGTCGGAAGAGGACACAGTGTTAGATCTCAAGCAGTCTCTGAAAGGTCTTACTGGAGTGCTGCCAGAACGCCAAAAGCTTCTTGGACTAAAAGTAAAAGGTAACTTAATTTTTTTTTACTGTTGTTCTGTGAAGTTGCCATGTAGATCTGGTTGCTGACTTGACTTGCACATATGCAGGGTCACTCACAGCATTTAATATTAATAAATTATTTTATTGATGATCTAGTTATTTATTTATTAATGGGGGCTATAGTGCAGAACTATTCCAATCTAAGAGCATTGACTGGAGTAACTTGTATAGGATTGAATTGTTCGAAGCCTACTTATCTTTTTTCTGCTGTCTTCTGCAATAAAAGATGATGTGCCCATCTCTTAAGCATGAATTAAAAATTACGTCCCGCGTTCTTTTTCAGAATTTCAGCAACAATCAGGCACTAAATGGTCCATTAGAAATTGCAATGGTCCACCAATGCACTGTGATCAACCTACTACTGACCCTTATTCTAAATTACTGAATGTGATACCAAAAAAAGCATCCCGAGAACTCTGAAGCTAGTTCTGTGAAGCTTAGGGAACTTGAGATGTACATCTTTTAGTTCACTACTTTTACTGTGGGTAGTTTTAAAAGGCTGTGTAATATGGCATCAAGGCCAGCTGATCAAAGAAAAAATGACTGTAATTCTGCTGGGTTAGCAAAAGCTCTTGCATGAGTTTAAGCAACTCTTTGGGACCTGGTTGAAATTACCAGCCTTTGCTGAACCTTTAAGTATTCAAAGTGGGCTGCTTCATTCAGACAGTTCTGTTCTAAAGAAGTCTGGTAACTTTGTTTGGTTTGAACATGGTATGCTTTGTTGGTTTTATTGTAAAATTTGAAAATGGTTTAGCAAGCCAGTTTTCTGTTTTGCTGTTTTAATGGTTTGATTGCTTTTTATATGATTATATTTTCTATTTGATTATACATTTGTATATGTACTAGCTTTGATCTTTCGGGAGGAAAGGAAAGGTGGGTTGTAAATGTAACTGAATAAATATTGAGGCTATGTCAGAGAAAAGAGTTTTCTCTGATTACAATAGGTTATTAAATCAGTACACATGTTTTCAAGAGACTATATGTTGCAGGTTAAAGAAGAGAAGAATGTCAGCAGAGGCAATTGGTTATTTTCACTGAGGAAATTGTGATCTGTTTATTTTATAGGCAAGCCAGCAGAGAATGATGTTAAGCTTGGAACACTAAAACTGAAACCAAATACTAAAATTATGATGATGGGGACACGTGAGGAAAGCTTGGTAAAATACCTATTTATTTATAAAAACAGTATTGGTTGTATTCTAACTAATGGTAGGGGAAAGCTCTGGTAATTAGTAGGGCAGTCAACAGACAGTTGCTCATTAATGACTGAAGGGCCTGCTTTTATACCCATAAATGAGAACCTGCCATGTAATTAGTATACATGATATATTTCAGTTGATATAAAGGGACAGTTTGCTCAGAATGCAGGGGGTATATATGGGGTTGGATCCAGCCAACTTTTTAACTTAATCCTGCCCAATTCCCCTGCTTACCACAGCCCCCATCCCACATGACTTTTATCCATGCAGATCCCATCATTTCCAGTGTAGCATTGTTTTGGGTGGTCAGAGATGACCCCCATCCCTTTTTCACCAGTTGCAGAGCTTACGGGTCCAACCCATGGTGTATGTTGAAGTGTGCTCTTTGGAAAGCAAGAGATAATTATTTTCATTTATACCCAGACATATCCCACAGGCTGACCACAGCCTAATAACAACAGTATTAATAATCCTTTATGAAGTAGTGCTTTCTGTATTCAGAACACTTCACACGTGTTAACTTGTGGTAAGTCTTTACAGCAGCCCTGTAAGATATGTAGTGGTATTATCCCCTTATTGCAGATGGTAGACTGTGAGAGCATGGATTTCATAAGACCACTTACAGGGCAATTCTGTGCAGTTACTCTAGTCTAATCCTATTGAAATCAGTGAATGTGGGCTGGAGTAATTCTGCATAGGATTGTACCATTCTTCTTAGCTTGTGCATTTTAAAAGGTCCTTCCACTTCAGACAAATCCTCATATTCTGGAAATCTCTCTAGTATCCCATTCCTCACTCATTTTCTGAATTCAAGGATGCGTCTTTAAATTTTAATTTAGTTTTTTTTCAGTACTGGTACATTTAGAAACACCATAAACATCCAAAATTCCAAACAATTGCCCTTTCCTATATTGCTTTCTCTATTCATGGGATTCTTGCCTCCCTAACATAACAATTCTCTCATTCAGATCTTCCCTTGCTCCAAACCCAGTTCATTCATCCTGCTAATTATATGAATCTTGTAGCCAGATAATTGTTCCCCACAACCTCAAGATAACAGCCTGTCTTCACAAGTAGTCAAAAGCGTATAGGTTATTTAAAATCTCTTCATGTCTCTTCCCTCCACCCTCTGCTTTAACTTTTTTATGTCCCTGCTTATATGATTTTGTTCCTTCCCATTCTTGTGTTTATATGTCTTATTAATTTATTGATTTGTTGCTTTAAAAAAAATATCCCAAGGCACTATTTTATATAGTATGATACAGTTTATTTATGAATACTGCTCCTAAATGAGATAATGCCTCCATTAAAAATATAGTGTTTGGGAAGGGGATGAGTAATTCATTGTGAATCATTTTTCTGTACAAGTTTGTTTTCATTCTTCTTTTAAAGCAAGTTTGTTTTCATTCTTCTTTTAAAAAAAATCTTTCTGATAGGAAGATGTCCTTGGGCCACCCCCTGACAATGAAGATGTGGTCAATGATTTTGATATTGAAGAGGAAGTTGTTGAAGTGGAGAACAGGTGAGTTGTAGCTACTTTGAAAAATAAATTATATGTAAAGCTGAGAGAGTGGTTTTCATAAGACCACTTACAGAGCAATTCTGTGCAGAGTTACTCCAGTCTAAGCCTATTGAAATCACTGAACTTGGACTGTTTACACTGTTTGTGCTTAGGGAAGAGAATCTACTAAAAATCTCTCGCAGAGTTAAAGAGCACAAAGTGGAAATATTAAATCCTCCAAGGGAAGGGAAGAAATTATTGGTTCTGGATGTTGACTACACCCTATTTGGTGAGTAGTGTGTCTCTTTTTCAAAAATCACTGTATACCTGTATGTTTATCTCCCCCAGTGTTCCCAGCCCTGTAAATTTCTTTGAAATTGTTTCAGTGCAGTGACACAGGTGTGCTTGATCTTGGTTTTGTCTCAGAAACAAGGAACACAGCTATAGTTTTTGAAAAGTCTGCTTTTTAATCTCAGTAATCAATCTCAGTCTCACCTACAGGGCACCACTAAGGGGATATAGGTATTAAAGTTACGTAAAAGCAAAAAAAAAACCCTGCAAAACCCTTGATTCTAAAAATCTGTGAGTTGGTTCTTGGCTCCCTTGGGTAGAGTCACATGCCTGTGCAGGGACACAAGTAACGGGGGAAAAGGATACTGCTGTTCAATGGTGATCTTAGGCTACCAAAGTAAATCTGCCACCTGTCTTCTCAGACCATAGGTCATGTGCAGAGACTGGAGTTGAACTGATGAGACCGTACTTGCATGAGTTCCTGACATCTGCGTATGAAGACTATGATATTGTAATCTGGTGTAAGTTGTTTACTTTGTGAACTGAAAGTGTTTTTTTATTGAGTTGCTGTTGTCATTTGCAGTATAGCAATCTGCTGAAAACTACACTTGCATCTTTGTTGTATTGTGCAGTGCTTGAACAACCAGTTTATTTGTCAGTTATGAAAGATAAGGTATTTTAAAGAGTTAGGTCCTGTTAGACAGCACAGAATCCTTAGTCAAATGGAAATGATGAGAACATTATGAACATAAGAAGCCCTGCTGGATCAGACCAGTGGTCCATCTAGTCCAACATCCTGTCTCACACAGTGGCCAACCATTACCTCTGGATGGCCAACAACAGGTCATAGAGGCCGAGGCCTTCCCTTGATGATGCCTCCTGACTCTGGGATTCAGAGGCTTAATGCCTCTGAATGTGGAGGTTCCCCTCAGTTACCATGGCTAGTAGCCATTGATAGATTTATCTTCCATAAATCTATCTAATCCCCTTTTAAAGCTATTTATTCCTGTGGCCGTCGCTACATCCTCTGGCAGCGAATTCCACATTTCAATCACTCTCTGTGTAAAGTAGCATTTCCTTTTGTCTGTCCTGAACCTACTGGCCATCATTTTCATTGGATGCCCTTGAGTTCTAGTATTTTGGGAGAGGGAGAAAAATGCCTCTTTGTCAACTCTCTCCACCCCATGCATAATTTTATAAACCTCTATCATGTCCTCCCCTTAGTCTCTTTTCTAAACTGGAAAGTCTCAGTCTCTTCAGCCTTTCCTCATAGGGAAGATGCTCCCACCCAGGGCTATTTTGGGGCAGGAACGCACAGGAACGGAGTTCCGGCTGGCTCCTGAGTTGGCCACGCCCAGCAGGAGCTCATTAGCATAATAGGCCACCCCTAACAGCAGAAACTCATTGGAATTGGCTACATCAGGGGTGTGTGGCCTAACATGCAAAGGAGTTCCTGCTACAAAAAACCGCCTGGGTTTTGACAACAAACAAGGTAAACAGAATAAGAAGCAAAAGGTGGGTATGGCTGGATGACCACACTTCTGGTAACATGGGGGTATGGCCTAATATGCTAATGAGCTGTACTATCAGGGGTGTGGCCTAATATGCTAATGAGTTTCTGCTGTTGGGTATGCCTTATTATGCTAATGAGTTCCTGCTGGGCTTTTTCTACAAAAAAAGCCCTGCTCCCACCCCCTAATCATCTAGGTTGTCTTCCTCTGTACCAGGGGTCATTTTACAGAAAAAGAGCTGCAGGAGCTCATTAGCATATGGTATACTAATGAGCTACTAGGCTGTTAGCATATGCCACACCCCCAGACATCACCGGAAGTGATGTCAGAATGGGAAGCAAAAGGGGTGGGAGGCATCTTCAAAAGCCTCCCCTTCCCTTCCCCTGCTGGCCTTCGGAGGGGGGGCGAAGAGAGAAGGGGTTTAAAGTTTAAACCCCTTCTTACTAGAGTTGGGCCACAGAAGGAGAAAAGAGGGAAGGAAAGAGTCAGAGT